AATCGGGCGCTAACTAAAGCTCTGTATAGATTCCTTCCGCCATCATCGCCATACAAAGCCAGCTGTGCTCAACCATCATCAGAAGTAAACTCGGATACCATCGATCATCTCAAACTGAAGAAGTATTCCGCGAGGNTCGTGGAAATCTATGTAAAGTGCTCTCCATCCATTGCTAACCCGCTACATAGCTTACTAAGTTCAATTTTTGAAAGTGAAATTTATCAAACACACAAAACCACATTGATTTCTCTGCCTTTCCTAAAAAGGGGGACAAAGAAATAAATGTGCGAAAATTACAGAGGTTTTTACACAGCATTTAGTGAACAGATTTGCTGAAAGAAGACTTACACGCAATCCCTTCCCACTAGCCGAAAGGGATTCCGTCCCAGTATCAGCTGCGTTGAATAAATATTCACCTCACCGACTTGTTTTGCCAAATATGTGTGTCTTAAAACATCACCACAAGTTCCAACAACCCAAAGCAGTCTGCATCGTAGATATTCGCACAGCATTCCATTTCGTAGATCGCGAATCCCTCTGGACGAATGTACTGGCCAATGACGTACCTCAGGAGGTCCTCTTACTCAAACACTACAACTCCAATTCGCATCTATGATGAGGAGTCACCCGCGTTCGAGTTAGAATCTGGAGTACGATAAGTGTGCCCATTTACCCCAAAGCCTTTTAAACTTCGTCATTGACTGGATAATGGGTCGTTGCATGCAAGGATACCAGATACTTGATGTTTCTTTGATTTAGAAGTCGCTGATGATAATATCATCTTTGTTGAGGATACGTCTAACCTCCAATAACTGCTGATCACATCAGTCGACAGGTCTCGGAGAACGGCCAATTGATAAACGTATTAAAAACCAAAACGGCTGCGACGGTTTTAATTCATTTTCAAAGTGGTTTACAACTAAACACCAAGCCCATGGAATCCCTAGAATGCTTTAAATATCTGGGCTCAAAGATCTTGCCTAATGGCTAAGCTAAAGACGAGGCATAACTTTGTGTCGATGCCCCAGAAAGGCTGAAGAAATCTCTTAAGGCGTAGAAACGAAATCAGCTTTAGGACGAAAATTTGATTTCTCTTCACAGCAGTCCGTCCCATCTTGTTGTACGGCTGCAAAACCTGACCACTCGAAGTCGAAGACTGCAGAGGGTTAGAAGTCTTAATCACTGGTATCTAAGAATCATTCTGAAGGTAAGATGGAGGAACTAGTTGATGCAACAGCTAGGTTGAACATCTGGAGTCACCAAATGGCCTCTTTGGATGTTATACCTCTGTTGATCCATGTACAATTAAGGGATACATGCCAATCGATTTGTAACCACATGGAACACGAAAAAATCCTATTCTGAATGCCGGCATTGATTGTTCATTGACTATTTTTATTGAACAGATCGAATTAGATCTTTTTCTCTAGAGAAAATATTTATGGACAATTTTGTGGCGTATCACCGAGTACAATTATTGCATTGCATTGTATTGCATTACAGCACATACCAAATACCAAGGTCATCGGTCAGAATTTTTCTACCCTTCCTCACTCCGTCAAACTTTATCTGTCAATGTGAGTGAGTCACGGAGTGATCCACATCGGTAGAAGAGAGAAAAAGTTACATAATTGAGCGGCCAAGCACAATCCGAGCCGGGTTCAGCGCGAGCTCATCACACTGACAGTTACGCAATCACAACGGACTAAAAACTCGAATGCACTAAATATCCTGCATCATCAACCGCAAGGCCTATGTAAACTGCAAGCCCTCCTGTCGATCGCGATAAATAAGTCCGTATTATCTACCCGTTCAGAAAGTCCCGGCTACAAAGAATTGAAAAACTGAGCGCGTTCAAACAGTCTAAACCTACCCTGAGCGAACAAATAGAACTTCAAGTTGGCTAGACTAAACCCTGGTAATACATCAAAGTTTTTTCCACCCCACCGCCTTGTTTATGACTCAGTCTACCCAGAGACACAAATCTTGTCTTCTACGACAAGTACCATTTGATATGCAGTACTGTGTGTGTTAATGTCTGGTGGTTAAATTAGCTTGTTTTTTTACGATAAACTACGAGGACTGAGGAAAACGTTTACCAATGCATGCATTACATTTTCTCGAAGTATTCTCCATCAGCGTTCATTTACAGTTCCATGCGCTCAAACCATTTGGTGAAAAAGCTCGACCGTGCCCAGGTGGATAACCCTTCGACCACTTCAATGAAGGCCTCCACAACAGCTGTTGTTGACTTGTACCGGACTCCAGGTACCAGTTGTGCCACTGTCACCTACGCATCGTCCTCCACCATCGCTTGCAGTGTGTCAATGTTGTCCGCTGTGGTGGCCTCTACAAGTCGACCACACTGTGTCTTATCAGCAAAGGACCACATGCTACGCTTCAATTACGCTAACCACTAAAGCAGTGCTTCTTTGAAGGCGCGTCATTACTAAAGGTTGCTCGCAAACGGTGAACAATCAACTGGTGCTTAAAACCACATTTGTAGTCATAAAAAATCATTGTCCCTCCAGTGAAATCGCTGAGTTCCATCCTCACAGTCTGAGTATAGCCACCTTCGTATGCCTTGTGAACTGTGCTCGGCTGTTGATATTTGGTTCTGTGAGTTACCATCACTACACAAGATTCACAATAGATCAGAGCCCATCTTTTACTTGTTCGGTCATCTGCACCTCGCACGTGTACTGCCTATTCGGAAACCCTTTTCTCAGCCCTCGTACAGATTGACGAAAGCAGTGGTGAACTAAATTCCATTCAACAATCAGTCCCACAGTACATAATAGGGGACGAGGTTATGATATTGGCATTGATTCGCTAAATGCGAGAAGCTTATTATTCGAGTTAGGTATCATCAGCTTGAACTACAGAATTGGGACAACGGTATGCCCATGTATCATGGCATGCTTAGTCATTGATTATCACTTCAAATGTCGTTTATGAGTGAGACACAACTCGCTTGTCCGGGAGGGTCATGCGTTATAATATCAAAAGACGGTACCGGTCGAGGATAATCGTTTGTTGGGATTTTAGATAGAACATCACCAATTTGATATACATAGCACAAAAATTTAATCAGAAACATACTATCGCATTTCCTAGTCACACGACGGGTAATGAATGTAGAAATCGATAGTTGAACTTTGAGACTCAGCAAACTGCTCTCAGTGATCTTGTTGATTTTAGGTCGTTGAAAGTAATCACCAACCATGCTACCTACTACTCACAAGTTAGTAGTATCTCACGACAATAGGCCAGAGCCCCTTATTGCACTGTGTTACTCACCCTGACCAGCCACTACTTATATTCATTTGGCAACATAAAACAAACTGTACGGCAATCTTCTTTGCTCTTCTCATAGTGCTCTATGGAAAACAATTAACCCGTTTCATATCTGGGAGCGGAATTGATAGCGGATTTTATCGCACACATTTTACATACAAGTGCACCACTAACAGGCAAACAATAGTTTTCGAATCGCTTTCGAGCATTGACCAGAAATGCACAAATAGGAAGGGGCTAAACGAATATACTCATCTGAAGACAACTAGAGACAATTAACTTGTGCTTTTTTTATGATTTGACATGGGGCCTTGGTTGAAATGGTGATAGAGCAACTTGAAGGGATACCCGGATGATGTGATTTGGTACCGGAACTTGCACAAGATATACATATAGCTCGCGTTAGACTAACGCAGGAAGAATGACGTCGGAGAATGCTGTACATAATTTGCATACTTTCGCTTACGATGCTTCCAAGTAATCCACACATCTGTAGATTGTCTAAACAGTCCCACAGAGCAAATTTCAAATAGAACAATGAGTGGCGAACAAGCTCGTTTTCAGTGATTCGTAGTCATGCCAAATACATCACAATAAATATTACGCTGTTTTTATAAATCAGTGTTCAAGCATAAAAACACAAACAAATGATTCGGGAAAGGGAAAATAACCTCGTCGGTTATCTGGGGCTAAGTTCATCTTGGGACCGGATATGAAATTCTCAATGATCACATATATGTTAGGTAATCCGGTCCTTGGGACCATTCAGAATTTGGGGTGTGTAGGGGGTGGGCCAGGGGTGCTTAAGCGCCTGCACAGATTGTTTTTGGGCACACAAAAGGGGGTGGTGTAGCCGAATTCCTACCGCTTCCGCTGTGGCTAGCATACGACATCGAACCTGCCTTGATAATCGACCACGAACCCGATTCAGGGGACGGAATGCCCCGGTCACATTCACAGTGCGATTTGTTTCAACTAGATGTGAAACCACTGTACTAGTGAGTGACTTAAGCCTTCCTGTATTTAGCCATACGGGGTGGTGTTAACGGATTCGTTCGGACAAACGCCTGACCGCGCGGCCCATGTACATGGTTCCACAGGAACACGTAAATGAGTACACACAAAATGAAACAGCAGAATCCGGCATTTTGTCCTTTAGTCGTAAACACACAATTGGCTGGGAAGTGAACAAAACATTGAGCTTTGCTGCATATGAGGCATTACTAACAGCATCTGATAGCCTCCATTGTATTACTTCTGCTGATGTATCCCTCTTGGACGGCAAGGTAATGTATACCGACGTCTTTCTGACCTTGGTCTTCTTCACACAATCTCCACCGCACTGAGTCATCTTGCTAACCAATCGTTCTGGATAGCCATAGTGTGTGAAAACAGTACTTAGAAACCGGAGCTCTTCATCTATTTTGTGCTCACTACAAATTTTCTTTGCTCTATCTGCTAGGCAGTGCACTAAATTCCTCTTCATNCTTGGTCTTCTTCACACTATCTCCACCGCACTGAGTCATCTTGCTAACCAATCGTTCTGGATAGCCATAGTGTGTGAAAACAGTACTAAGAAACCGGAGCTCTTCATCTATTTTGTGCTCACTACAAATTTTCCTTGCTCTATCTGCTAGGCAGTGCACTAAATTCCTCTTCATTTTAAGCGGTACAAAGCTTCGAAAAAGAATATAGTGGCCCTTCTAAGTGGCCTTCCTATGCACTGATCGTTGCACCGAGCCGTCTGATCCACGACTCAAACAGACGTCTAGAAATGCCAACATTTTATCGTTTTTCATTTCCAAAGTAAATGTTATGTACTGGTGAGCAGCGTTGAATTTGCTCAACAGCTCATTTATTTCTGATGTGTTGATCACGCATAGAATATCATCCACATATCGTCTGTATAACACCCAATCCTGAATGGAAGATTTGAGTTGGTTATTTTCGAGTTTCGCCATGAACACATTGGCAAACCACGGTCCCAGAGGTGATCCCATAGCCACATTATCCTTTTGTCGACAAAGCTGCTCGTTGAACTTGAATTGGGCGTTGTATGTGCAAAACATAAAGAAGTCGTTCCAGGTCTTGCAAACGAATGCCAATCTCAACATTGCTATTTTGGGCATAACTATACAGGTATTCGATGATTTCGCCCTTTTGGAACATTGGTGAAGAGCGAGCTAATGCCCAATGAAAGCATTTTCCAACCCATCGAGTTTAAGTCATGAATGTGGTTCACAGAAAGTCAATGTGTCTCGTACGCTGTGTTTCGCTAATCCAATTCTTACAGGGTCTAGTAATTTAGCCAACCATATTCAAAGTGCGCGGTAAGGTGAATCGCATACATCCAGAATCGGTCGCAAAGGCACCCCTTCCTTGTGCACTTTCCGCAACCCGTACAGTCTGGGAATCGTTGTCCCAGTCGGCCGGATTCGTTCGAAAGTGGTCGCATCGATTACTCCATTTTGCTTTACACACCTCAATATCTTTGATAAGGCAACCTCTGTTTGAGCGGTCTTATCCTTTTCTGTTGTTTTGGTGAATTTCGACTTGTCACTCAATATGGCTTCCATCTTTTGTACATAATCTGTGAGATTCAAAAGCACGATCCACGCCACTTTTTCGGGCTTGGATATCATGATTTCTCTATTTTTCTGCAGGTCTCCGAGTCGTTTGAGATGCTCCGGTGTTACTAGTTCACTTGTTTTTATTCTAACACTCTGAAGTTGATAGCATTGGCTAAGGTTGATTTCAGCTTTTTCAACTCCAAGGCTATCGAGGAAACGAAATCAGAAAGTTGTGCATATAGATTTTCAAACTCCACCTCAACATCAAGTTGCTTAGATCTGCCATTAGGACAGCAAAACTTTGGTCCTAGAGACAATACTTCTAACAACATTTTGTCCAGATTTGCTGTAATGTGTGACACTGACCTCGAAATTCCTCGTGCACTCTAAATGCATTAAATATGCACAGTATACGATTCGAATAAAGTTCGTGTGCTATTCTATTCGAAGTTGTTCTATTTCGGGGATTGGTATTGCGCGAATTCTGG